ATGTGCAGATTCAATTTTATAAATATTTATTTTAATTATCTTCATGCATTTTTTGATTGGTATTTATATGAATAGGTTTGCATTGTTCTACCTCACATTAACCATAGTGTCTCCAAAACAGTGTGCATCCTCTCTAAGATATGTTACTATATGTCTCAAATAGCATTACTGTGCTTAATCTATCCTTACCCCACCTATGATATTTGTACCTGGGGATCTACTACAGCAAATCACCTGAAGCCGGTGGAAACTCAACAGAAAGCTGCTATTAGAATGATCACTTAAGTTGGTGCCAGACAGCACATGCCTTCACTCATCAAAAGCGTAAACTTATTAAACACACGTAACATTCGCTCTTAGTACTGTGCATACTACATATATACAGAACAGCCAATACAAATATGAACCCGGCTCTGAAACTTTTTCTAAATAGCTATAATAGAACTCAGGTATAATGATTTTTAACACACCAGCTGTCATCCACCAAAGTAGGAGGACTCAAAAAAAAAAAAAAAAATACTTTCACCATTAGTCTTACCAGAAGCATGCCAATATCACAGCTCAGATGCTCAAGCATAATACTACGAGAAACAGATACACTACCTCTTTGATGTCCCCCTATTGTTCAGATTTTGAAAAGCTCCCAAAATTTGGAATGCAATACCACAGGCATCTAAAACTTCCCTGTCTGACAAAGCCATTGTTAAAAAACACTTATCCTATTGTGATTAATGATAGCAATATATTGTCAAAAACAACTGTACAGCAAGACTGTTGAGTATTCGTATAATAATCATCCTCGTATACTTCTGGTCTTCAGTATTCTTCTACATCATAAATTTCACCATGAGTTGCAATCCCTTCATTTTGACATAGCTGTTGTAACACACTAGAAATTTTCATAGAATAATTATTGCTCTTAATTTCTTATATCCATATACATGTATATCCATTGTAACATATGAGTTATAAATTTTCGTCTCCATATCTTTTGTAACACTCAGAGTTATTACTTATAATAATCGTTGTACAGGAGGGCCCCGCTTTATAGCAATTCACTAATACAGACATTTCAAATTATACCCAAAAATTCATTTATATGGCTCCTGATTCATTGTTACGGTATCCGTGTGCCACCTGTTTACATCCTCCCTCTGCATCTCTCCGAATTATGTCTGGAAACTTTCCAGAGTTTCAAGTGTTTTAAAGTTATTGTATATTTTATATATACAGCCTCTCCTTACTTAACGACAGGGTTCTGTTCCTAAGAGTAGGTCGGTAAGCGAATTGGTCGTTAACCGAGGAGCGTACTATACTGGTAGTGGGTTTGTGTGAAGGCTTACTCAGCCCTGTAACAACTTCAGTAAGTATTACCAAGGCTGGCTCCTCCTCAGCCCTCTAACAACTTCAGTAAGTATTACCAAGGCTGGCTCCTCCTCAGGAAAATTAATGAATAGAAAAAAAATAATAAGTCAAATATAAACACTTTATTATTTAGAAATGAAAATATAAAACAATTAAATATGAATTTTTATCCTTTTTTCTCATTTTTATATTTTATATAATTTTTTGTTCTGATAACTACAATTTATAGTAGCTTTTGTGATTTTATAGCCAATCTTTGTTCTAACAATAATATTAGGTGCTGAAATTGTACTCAGATTGTCACAAACACACTGACAGGTCAACATTTACACCTGCCTTGGTCATTTACTATTGTCTAGGAGTATATACAAAGTATTTATAGGTCCCAGCAATGTTTTAGACATGCTGAAGTATATATGAAACTCCTAGAAGCATGGTGTTAAGACAAGTGTTACTAAACTGCTGACAGGGTAAGCAGTGAAGTGACACGGTGACCGTGCACTGCTGCACGAAACCCTGGCTTTATTTGTTTTTACCGGTACACATAAACATGTCTGTTTGTCTGTCTGTCTAGCTATGTCAGTTTATCTGTCTTTCCATCTGCCTGTGTGTCTGTCATTTTGTCTGCCTGTGTGTGTGTCTTTGTCTGCCTGTGTGTGTGTGTGTGTGTGTGTCTGTCTGTGTGTTTCTGTCTGCCTGTGTGTGTGTGTCTTTCTGTCTGCCTGTGTGTGTGTGTGTGTGTCTTTCTGTCTGCCTGTGTGTGTGTGTCTGTGTGCCTCTTGTCTTTCTGTCTGCCTGTGTGTCTGTGTCTTTGTCTGCCTGTGTGTATGTGTGTCTTTTTGTCTGCCTGTGTGTGTGTGTGTGTGTGTCTCTCTCTCTTTCTGACTTCTTTCGTGTGTGTGTCTTTCTGTCTGCCTGCATGTCTCTTTCTGTCTGCCTGTGTGTGTGCGTCTTTGTCTGCCTGTGTATCTGTCTGCTTGTCTCTCTTGTCTCGGAGAGTTGCTCGTGAACCAACTGGTATTACACATTATCACGTCTGATTCCTGAACAAGTGAAAATGCATATTACTTGCCAGTTGCCAGTCATGCTTATTTATGCATTATATCTACAAGCACAGTATAGGACTTTGTCTGGATTTTTTGGGGGTATCCTAGGTAATTTACACTATGTATAATTGTACGTATTTATGTTTGTGTACCTGTAAGATAGACATATTGACCGAGAAAGAGATAGAGACAGAGATATATGCAGACAGACACACAGAGATAGAGACAGCCATCTGGCCAGATAGCCAGCCAGCCTGCCGAACACATATTACATGTTCCAGAGTTTTCTTTTTACTAAGATGAGACTTCCAGTGGTACCAAAATTGAAAGGGTGTTGCATAAATGTTGCACATGGGTTATTATTGAGGTTTTTTATATTTCTGCAACCACTTGTGGCCACATCCACCTCAAAGTCACTAAACTTGGGGTCAACATCACTTTCCTCTTAAAAGGGGAGTGTTAATACGACATAACATCAGTAAATCCTTGGTGTTAGCCACGCTGTTTGCTCTAGCAGGCGCTCAGTTGAGCTGGTGCTCCCTCGAAGTACTATGCTGACCAGGCATCTCAGGCTAATCGTGCCAAATTTGGAGGCAGGAAAAATAAAATGTAGATCTACGTTTGGAGTGCTAGCGGTAAAAACGAAGATCTACGTTTGGACAGTTAACGGGCTAAATGAACTCTTAAGGAGAAAATGTTGCAGGAAATTAAAAGTGCTACACCACTGAACACTAAAGTTATAAGAAAATGTGATAACCTTGTTGCTAACATGGAAAAACTTTTACTGGTGTGGACTGAAGATCAATCTAGTCACAACGTGCTTTTAAGCTGAGCCATTATCCATTCCGAGGCCCTAATTCTCTTCAGTTTTATGAAGACTGAGAGAGGTGAGGAAGCTGCTGAACATAAATTTGAAGCTAGCAGAGGCTGGTTTCATCTCCTGACTTCCTACAATAAATACTACGTACCTCTCATCCTACATTAAGGTCAAAAATATTTTAAGGTGAGTAATGAGTGTACTGTATATACATTTTACTTTTTTATTGTTCTTTTTAGGCCTAGTTCTATTGCTAACTTAATATATGATAATGTAAACATGTTATCAGGCATTTAAATACAATTAAGTGAAAAAAAAGGTGATTTGCTCATGGTGATTTTAACTTCATGGAACCTAACCCGCCATATAAGCGGAGCCTTCCTGTACTCTATCGTCCTAACTCCATATAATTTCATTAAATTATCATAAACATTTATGTAATCTACCTATTCTGTAAGTGATTTAGTAAGTCTGCCTGAAATGCATTGCATTTTTGGCTTAAAATGGGTGGGACCAGGAGAACTGGGCACAAATCAAAATTAAACATTAAGTGAGCCAAAGATTTGTAGGGGAAAACTACTTCAGTGTAATGATAGCAAGGAAGTGGAATGCATGAGAAAAAAATATTGAAGATATCCTGGAATGCCCATTGTTACTGAAGATGGCAGTCCTAACTTGCAGGATGCTTTCTGTAGTGATGCTGTATGTCCCATACTGGTTTAACTTTTTTCAGTATTAAATTTTCTGTATAAATTTTCTCTAATAAGAAGCCATAGTATGCTAATGCACTTCGAAAGCCTGCAGTTAGTGCCAAGGCAAAGAATTGCACATTGTGGACATAGAGACTGAAAGGAGGTGCCCCTGAGAAAAATAAAAGATGGTCAGTAGGAAGTCATGGGCATAAAGACCTCTTGTGGTGAGAAGGCCAGTTCTCATTTTTCATAATATGCTTGAATTACTGAAGAAATTTTTAACCAAACCTCTGAAATATTTGAAGCACACACAAGTGCCTATTTCATACTCACTGGAGCACAGACACAAGATAACATACAGGAGGATCCCAGCTTAGAAACTCCCTGGATTAAACATCTACATTTGCAAACAGGGCACTTGGAAACATTTGTGTTGTATTTTTATCACTTCCAATACACAATGCAAATGTGATACATGACCATAGTTTTACTGCTGTTGTCTAAACAAACAACTCATTTGTAAATTTAAACACCAGGAATGGAACTCATTTGTTAGGTGCTTACCTCCTATATTGTAATAATTATATGGAAGATAGTGGAAATATTGATTATCAGTTTTCAGTCATATATAGTTCCTTATTGGAGCGAGACAGTGATGTGTGCAGAGAGAAGTTTGGTGAATGGTAAGGGTATAATAATTGTGCAGTAAAAGAACATAGTACCAACATCTGTCCATTGTGTCTCTAAAAAGAAAAGGAATGTGCACAAACTGGAATCTTTCAAGATAAAACTTGCTGAACTTCCTTAAGCTGTGTCATGTCATAGCCAGGTTGTGGTGTCTGTGTTGGGTCATCAACTGCCTTTATTGACAGTCTGACTGGGTTCTCATTTAGGTTTGCCAAGGGATATACCATGGTTACAAGGGTAGAGAAGCTCACAAAACTGTTGATATAACATGAAGAAAAACAATAGTCAACATGCATATTAGGTACTTTTAATAAAGTGTATATTCTGTGCTTTCTCATTAAATTGCCATTTTCTTTTGTTTTTTGAGACTATAGTAATTTTTTTTACTTCCAGGCCAGATTTTGTTGCCTTGAAAATAGCAGAAAAAATTGCAGAAAATAATAATGATGCCTGTCTGATAATGGTGAGTGAATTATGTCAGTGTTAAAAATAAAAGAAATGTTAATTGTAGATGTTCTGTATTAGATTCTTTTGAAATTTTCTGCCTATACATGTATATGGAGAGCGTATAAATCTGTAGGGGAAGGAAGGCGGCGTAGGGGTTGTCCTCGAAAAGGTTGGACGGAGGGGGTAAAGGAAGTTTTGTGGGCGAGGGACTTGGACTTCCAGCAAGCATGTATGAGTGTGTTAGATGGGAGTGAATGGAGACAAATGGTTTTTTGGGACCTGATGAGCTGTTGGAGTGTGAGCAGGGTAATTTTTGTGAAGGGATTCAGGAAACTGGTTAGCCGGACTTGAGTCCTGGAAATACAGTGCCTGCACTTTAAAGGAGGGGTTTGGGATATTGGCAGTTTGGAGGGACATTTAAACTGTCGTATCTGAGGACCTCTTCAAAGACTGATTATGTGAGAGTGATGATCAAAGTGTTGAATGATGATGAGAGTTTTTTTTCTTTTTGGGTTTTTCTTTCTTTTTGGGTCACCCTGCCTTGGTGGGAAATGGCCGTTGTGTTAAAAAAAAATCAAGCCGCTATAATTTTTGAGAATTTAAATATTTAATGATGCCATTTATTATTGAGCAAAGATGAATAGAGAAATTAATCTAGGCTTTTTGAAGATATATTTTTTTCTTTTTTTACACACCACTTTTTTTTCCCCACCAAGGCAGGGAAGGTGTTAAAAATTAAAAAAAAAAAATAATCTTTTTAAATGATGGTTTTATGGGATTAGGTTTTATGTATTTTGTTTATTTCTTTAATATAACTTGATATTACATTTTAAATATACAGTACAGTATTTATTATACAGTGGACTTTCGGTTAACAATGCCATCGGATGGCGATGAAATCAGATACCGATGGGTTTTTGCATCAAAATATTGGCTCGGCTAACGATGAAAAACTCGGTTAAGGACATTTGTCCAGAATGTGTCCGTGCGGCCTGAGCCGCCCAGCCACTCTATGTACAGCCAGTGTGCCATTGTATTTATTCTTCATGTCTCATTGTTTTCTGTGTATGAAAATGTATATTTCATGTGAAAATTTTTTTTTTTTAATACTTTTGGGTGTGTGGAACGGATTAATTGGATTTCCATTATTTCTTGTGGGGAAAATTAATTCAGATAACAATAAATTCTTTTAAAGATAAGCTCTCTGGAATGGATTAATATCGTTGACCGAGGGTCCGCTGTATATATATAGGGAGGTGCCACCTCTGGAACTGGACTGGGGACCTTCATCCTCAGAGAAAACAATAAACTTGCTTCGAGGAAAACTCAAGGTTCTCCCCGAAGCTGTTTGAATATTCTATGTAGATTTTATTTCAAGATAAAATATGTTGACAAAAAGACAATAGGAAGTAGAATGACAAAGATAACATCTCAGAGCTACATCTCGAATACTTAGTCCAGCTCCCCGGTGGTGGGCCTCGTGCCCAGAATGCTGTAGGCATTTTCTCTCTGGATCTCAACACTGAGTCTCTGAAAGAGGAAGCTAGCCGCCCTGTGGTCCTTGGTTCAGTATTTTGGATTCTTTCAGAATTTAGTTCACAATTTTCTATGGCTTGTGACTTTCATTTATTTCCTTATTTTCATAAAAATAATTAAAATAAGAACATAATATTACTGTCTTAATACATGTTCATTTTCAGATTGACAATAAAAAATTGTGTTTGAATCTTCAATCAGCTCCAGTTATTGTATCCCAGCTGACTTCTGAAGGAAAGTGGAAAAGTAAAGAGAAGGCAAGGTAAGGCTCACTTTCATAAGAATTTCTCTAAACTTCTTAGATTACATACATGGCCAAGTGTTAAGTTTATATTGGAACATTTGGGGCTATTAAGTTTGATCAGAGGAATGGGAGAGTAGCTCTGGTTCATTTGAGTAAGCCCTTTACTAGCATTTTTCTAAAACAATCCCAAAGTAATTTTTAGGATGATTTGTACTTGAGACCAACTAACTCTGGGATTTTGTATTGTATTTTTAATGAGCTCAACAAGTTGACAAAAACACTTTCAAAAATGTTGAAGTATAACCTATACCCAACTGCAGTTGAAAGCAGCTCTCTCAGCTCAGATTCCCTCAAGAGAGGTTCTTTGATGCCAGTGAGGGGTTCTTGATCCAAGGAATTGAATCTGACCTTCCCTTCCTGATTGCTCCCATTCTCCCAGGCACTTGACAAACCCTATCAGTTTAGAGTTTTCCCAGTGAATGTAATAATTATAATCCCCACTCTAATAATGTCAGATTTAAATCTTTAAGTGCAGTATTACAGCTTTGTAAATGTCTGCTATTTGATTGCATATTTTGTCATCCATCTCAAATATCACAGTTGCTTCTTGCCAATGACACAGTTCTTTTGGAAATTCTGAAGAAAGGTTACAAAGGTTGGTGAAGGAATTTGGGAAGGTATATAAAAGAAGGAAATTAAAAGTAAGCATTATAAAAGAAAAAGAGCAAGGGAATGAGAGCAACAAAAGATTGGAAATCAGATGGGAGGGGGTGAGTACGGAAGAAGTGTTTATTTTCAGATATTTGGGACTGGGCATGTCAGCAGATGGGCTGATGAAAGATGAGGTGAACCATAGAATAGATGAGGGTGTATAGGGTAGGTGATGTGTTGAGGCATCTGTGGAAAGAAAGAAGTTTATCTGTAGAGGCAAAATGAGAAATACACCAGAATATATAGGTACCAACACTTTTATAAGGGTGTGAAGCATGGGCTTTAAACATTACAGCAAGAAGGCTGAGGGAAGTGAAGATGTCATGTTTGAGAGCAGTGTGAGGTGAATATTATTCAGAGAACTTGGAGCATAGAAATTATAAGACATTGTGGGGTTGCCAAAGGTATAATTCAGAGGGCTGAGGATGAAGCAGAGTAAGATGAACAAGATGGTAAATAAATCTTGGGTGGAAGGTAGGAGAGGTAGGAGTTATCACAGAAATGTTTGGAAAGGGAGTAAAGAAGGTTCTGAGTACTAGGAGCTTGAGCATCCAGCAGGCTTCTGTGAGCATATTAGATTGGAGTGAATAAAGATAAGTGGCATTTTTATGCCTTGACGTGCTGCTGGAATGTGAGCGAGTTAACGCTTATAAAGGGATTCGGAGAAATTGGTTAGCTGGACTTGAGTCCTGGAGGTGGGAAGTACAATGCCTGTTCTTTGAAAAGGGTTGGGGATGTTGCAGGTCAGTCATCTGTATTGTGATGTCTGTATTTCTGTTTATACAGCTGTTGAATGAGTGATTATTTCCTTGTTTTAGATCATCCTGTTTTAGATCATCCTGTTTTGTTGGGAAAGATTGGTGTGTTAAAAAATCTTGGGTGGCTTTATTAAACACAAAACCTGTAGGAATAATATAGTACCTGGGAAATGGAATGTATTAATATTTAATTTGAGAAAGAGTGTAACTCCAGTTCCTATAGTGACCTCATTATGTCACTGGATATTGCTTGATGAATATAATTAATTGTGTATTATAATGTGATGTAACTCTTATAACTTTTTTGCAGTGTACACGTAGAAGCAGGGTCTCTCGATGTTATATCACAACTACTGCAGCATAAAGTTCAACACGATTTAATTGATTTTGATAACCATCTTGATGACCTCACCTGTGACTGGTCCAACCCTCACATTGACAAGCTATTGACAACTCTTACAGCTGCGGCCCAAGACTAGCACACCCATGGTAATTGGTTTGAACCTCCAACTTCACATTCTGTCACTGTGTGGAACATAAGTACTAATATTTATCATATTACTGTATTTTCCCTATAGCAAGTACCTCCTTACAAACTGTAGAAATTTGCAGTACAAATCTGACATTTTCAATCAAATTGTTTTATGAAGAAATGTGCATATATCTGTATGTATATTTAATCTACTAGGTTCTTGTGGAAAACTGTTACTCAGATTAGTAATCGGAAAATTTCACACTAATAGATCTCTGTATTTATGTACTGTATGCATGCATGCGGTAGCGTATTAGATTAAATTTTAATGCAGTTACTAACAGCATTAATGTTAGCTCTTGCTAAGGAGTTATTTTATTTTATTTGAAATAATAAAAGTACCCAGCACAGTTGTTTGAAGAATCCATTCAGTTAGGATTATGAACATTTTGTAGCATTTTCTCATGGTTGTAGTTTATATTTAGCATCACACTGGTCTATTAAATCTTAGTTTGCAGTTATAAAAAAATGGATTATATGTACTGTGCTTCACCTGAGGGCTTAACACTTTTTTTGTGAATGTAATAGTTATTACCTGACCTCACTTTCATTATCAGTGCACTAACATGCTCACTCTACCCTCCTCTCTCAAGTTCCACCTTCATTGTAGATACACTTGATTTTTTTTAATTGAACCTAACCTATTGCACCAACTATGACTTGCATTTTGAGCTTGTACTGACCCTCCATTCTTCAAAACCCTACTGGATGCATCTTTCCCTGCCAACACATATACACAAAACAGTTTAAGCAAAGAAAGAGATATGTAATATTAGGAAGCAACAAACACTTGTTCTTGTCTCATTTATTTGTAAATCAGAATAACATACCTGGAAAAGAATGCATTGTAGTTCAGTTTCTTTGAGATCAGTATTAAAAGCATTCTTAGTTTAAAGTGATCCATTATTGATACTAAACTTTTATACAACACAGTTTACCCAAAATTTTAAGTCATACTCTAGGCAAAAAAAAAAAAAAAAAAAAAATAGTAAATTACCCTGTTTTTATTTCATGTATTCGAATTTAGGACTACATAAATCAATATAAATATGCACAAGGATGTCTAGATAAGATAATGCAGGCTTCTACACCTTTAAATACAAAAATATATCTAAAATCAGTTCCTTCAAGGAAGAAAGGATGGGAGTGCCTTGAGGCTAATGAAAGGCTCTTGATCCAAGGAATTGAAGTAAACCTTCCCTTGAATCATACATGCTTTATGACCCCACACTAGTTTGGTGCTTATTTTTAATGTAATTGTTATTCCCATGGGCAAGTACTAAACCTGTAGGGGCCATATAGTGTTTTTAATGTATAATTATTTTGGATTAAACCTGGTTACAGTGTCCTCCAGGGGCTATATGGTCTTTACAGATATAGCCTTTTCTCATGGATATCCCTTCAAAGGAGAAGGACGCCAGGTATCTCATGCTGCTGGTGAAGGGCTCCTGATTTAGGTTATTAGAGCCAGCCTCTGCTTCTTCAGATCAAACCTGATTACTTCACATTCCCCAGGTGCTGTATGATTATTAGCATTATCATTTCTCCATTATAATATTTTTTTGAAGTACAAGCCCATGAAACATTATGGAGGGTGACTCAAAATAAAGACCTATTAGTGATAATGGATCCAAGGTGTTAGTCATCCTCGGACGGAATCTGAATGTATATCTCAGTCTCAGGGTGCTGCATGACCCTTATGTATTTAAAGACCTGGGGAAGTGTTAAACTCATAGGGGTCAAACAGTTACAGGGAAATAGGAAACAATTGAGTTTTTTCCAGAGAGGAGAGGACAAGAGAAATCTATTTCCTTGGATCAAGTGCCCATCATTTGATGCTAGCATCAAATTATTTTGAGGGGATAAATTTTTTCTATACATCATTTTTAGGCATTTAATAGTTTTTTCAGTTGGGGATATGGCTTTCTTAATACTGATGAAGGGCTCTTGATCCAAGGACTTAGAAAGCATTACTTTGGATAAAATACGATTTCCCAGGTAGTTTGACTCCCACATATTTAACACTTCATGATACTGTAATTACCAGTTCGTTCAAATGTAAATCTTACTCTTACTATAAGCAGTGTTAGTTTAACATGTTTATTATGCACCCCATACCCATCCTGTGGGCAGTAGTCAAAAGATTACAGAGGTACATAATGGGTCCAGGGACTGGGCCCCCAAAGTTTTGATAGCTGAACTAGGTACAAAGGTAATGAACTCACAAGTTACAAAAATAATGAATCCTGTAAGTAAATTTACTTACGTTTATATATGGCTACAATCATGAACAAATTATAATGAGCAATTCACACGTCCACACCCGGTCACAACTGTAAAGAGTTATTGGTGCAAATATTAATTGTTGGGTGCGTGTGTGTCTCTCTCTCACGAATGAGGCGAGTGCTCCATATCTTTTAATGCATAGAAGAGAACCTATAACCTATTCTCAATTTTTCATTTAGAGTACAGAGTACAGGCAGGATGACCCAAAAAAGAAAAACACTCACCATTCACACATCACTCTTTGCAGAGGGACTCAGATATGACAATTCAGATATCACTCCAAACAGCAAATATCCTAAATCCCTCCTTGAAAGTGCAGGCATTGTACTTCCCACCTCTAGGACTCTAGTCCAGCTAATTGGTTTTCTTGAATCCCTCGCAAAGTATTACCCTGCTCACACTCCAACAGCTCGTCAAGTTCCAAAAACCATTAGTATCCATTCATTCCTAACTAACATGCTCTCACATGCTGTATTATTACTATTAAATTTATGGGGAAGTGTTGAACCCATAGAAGTCATACAGAGCCTGGGGAATGGAAGGCAATCAATCAAGTTTAAGATGAGGGAGTGCAACTTTGATCTGCTTTGGGTTACTTCATCCTGCTAACTAAATTTAATATTTCAAGGTATTGGTCTAGTCTAGAGATTCACTTTGTGTTCCTGATGCCCTGTTCCTCCCAGGAACTCTTCTGAATTTCATGCCCATCCTTTCCAGGGTGATGACCCCATAAATGTCTGAGGTGCCTCACTCCTAAATGACTTGCATGTTAACTCACATGTTAAGCTTTTTTGTGATTGTCTGTACACTTGTTCTGCTCTCCCTTATATGACCTTTCTGTATATACCTTTCCTTTTCCATTCCACAATTTGATGCCTTGTAGCTCAGTGGTGGCTCTTTTGACTTGCAGCTGTGAAAGACCTGGGTTCAATCCTAGATGATTCTTATACACTGCCTATATTTGCATAACATTTAATAGGTACCTAGGTGTTAATTGAATGTTGCGGATCACATCCTTAGGAAACAGAACCAAAGGACTAGATGGAAATTAGCTATATTGCTTGACTTTCTTAGGTTACTTTAGGTTAATTGTGACTTCTTCTTCCAGTCACACTGATTACATATACTTAATTTTTTCTTCTTGCAATCAGACCATTCATAATCTTTGTGCTCAAAGCCTTCTGTTCTTCTCTTAACCCACTCTGTTGTCCCAAACACTTAATATTTTTGTCACTATCTTCACTAAGTAACTCTAACTTACTCATTCCCTTTATACTAATACCCTGTGTATTTCTTCAATATGATAATTAATCTTGGTGCCTGAATGTTATATTTATCATCATTCCATGTCCACATTTTTCTGTCACAGTTAGTCAGGGCGAGTAGAATAAACTTTTTTCCTATACATTGTTATATCCCTCTCTTTTTACAATGCCTTTTTGGATGAAGCAAGACAATATTTTTTTTTAACCATATGCTTTAGTTACACCAACCATCCATGAAGGTCCAGTGCTAGCATAACAGGACTGAAATGAAAACCTGTTAACAGTTTCACATTCTAGAAGGATTGTTGGGCATTTGTCTCAAAAATATGCAAGATGACATTGTGTAAGCTTTGACTTATCCATTATACACTTACCTTAGCTTTACTGTATGTTTCCTAACAAATTACATTTTGTTTCCAATTTAAGAAAATTGATCTGAAACTTGGCCACAAGGTCAGTTATCCCCAGAGTCATTAACATATATTACAGGACCAATACAGCAACTGTCTTCAGAAGTCCTAGAACAATAAATATCAGAATAGACAGATTGATGTGATTTCTCAATAATATAGACATTCTGGACCCTTTTTCTGCTAATAAATAATGCTATGTGAGGATATTAATAGGAAGATCTCCACAATATACTCTACAAGTGTTCAGGAATTTGTAGATAAATGTTTCTAGGCTCTGATGAAAATACAACTTTTAACCCTTTCAGTGACTCGCGTAGAACTACAATGGAGCCTCACTACTTGAATTTAATTCATTCCAGAAGGCTGTTCGAATACCGAACAAATTTTTCCCGACCAGTTTTCTTTTTGGTTGGCTGTTGCAGTATCGCTAATCTTTGTAGGCCCCAAGGTGACTTATTTATACATCTATAAGAAATAGTTTACAGTGAAGTTCTGGCAGGTCATGTTTGGTTGAGTGCCAAGCAAATGGTCGACTACCAAGCGATTTTTTTACCGAACAATGCATTCAGATACCAAATTGCTCGAGTAGGGAGCTGTTTGAGTACCAAGGTTCCACCGTACGCCACTGAAGCCAGGGTCCCTCACAGTTGTACGTCATGAGCTCAGTTCACTCAGATAAGCTGCGAGTGGTAAATTTTGGCCTAGATATGAGAGAATGGGTCTGTGTGGTGAGTGTGCACAGTATAAAAAACAAATCCTGTCTCATGTGGTGCATGATGGGAAAAACCTGTATGGTTTAAAACAGTGAATTTGAGGTGTTTCTCAGATGGTTTTATTGGCTGTTTTTTGGTATCATTTGATAGACCAAAAGACATACTACTGAAAAAGGGATGATTTTGATTGGTTTCAGGACAAAGTAGATCGAAGTTGTGCTCAAATCAGCAGAAATACAGCCTCTCCTCACTTAACGACAGAGATCCATTCCTAAGGCCACATTGGTAAATGAATTTGTCACTAAGTGAGGAGCATACTGTAATGGTAGTGGGTTTGTGTCGACCAACTCTGATATTGTTTTAACCCTTTCAGGGTCCAAGGCCAAAATCTGAAGTGGTGCCCCAGTGTCCAAGAAATTTTGAAAAAAAAAAAAAAAAAATTCTTACAGAATTAAAGATAATATTTTTGTGAAGGTAATAAAACAAAGCAAAAAAAAATCTGATCAGTACTTACCGAGATACAGCGGTGGGAAGTTGACCCAAAATGACCGGGTGGCGGTAACATCAGTGACTTCCGCAAAATCCCGTTTTTTTATTTTACATTTTTTATACTTCTTTTCTAATTTTTTTCTTTCTCAAATAACATTTGTGGCCTGTGAGACCAGTATAATGTATATTGTATAAGTGTACACTCATTGTATTCAACACAATAACTGCACTAATTTGTTTATCATTATATTGCTTACAAAACTTTTTTACAAATTTATTGTAAACAAAATGATGAAAATATTAGTGTGGTTATTGTGTTGAATACAAAGGTACCATATGGTACAATGGTGCCATAGGGTGCAATGTTACCATATGGTACAATGGCACCATATGGTACAATGACACCATTTGGTACAATGGTACCATATGATACAATGGCACCTTATGGTACTATATGGTGCAATGGTACCATATGGTACATTGTACCATACAGTACAATGATACCATATGGTTCATTGTACCGTATGGTACTGTTGTATTCAACACAATAAACACACTAATATTTTCATTATTATTTTGTTTACAACAAAAATATGCAAAAATGTTGTATATTAGTAATGTTCTATTATATATTTACAAGTGTACAGGAACTTGACATGTTCCTTGAGGTGGATGACAAAGCACTTTGTCTCGGAAACTGTGGAGTCAGTAGCTAGCTTGTGTCGCCACTCACTCAGTCTTGGCTGGTGTCTCATGCCAACAACACCTATTGACCATATGGTACATGGTATCATATGTTACAGGGTACCATATGGTACCATTGTACTGCACAATGGTACCATATGGTTCAAAACCATAGAATTCGTCTTCAGCTCTACTTTCATCAGTCTTAGAACTGTAAGTTGTGAAGAGGAGAGTCAGAATTCACCCAGAGAGTGAGTGGGGAGTGAGAGCTTCCTTGCCGCCAGGCACGATGAGCAAAGCTACTTTGCCAGCGTTCCCACAATGCCATGCGGGCGTCCAGATTTTTTCTATAGTGTGCACACTGACCACCCAGACCCATTATCTCAGATGTAGGCCTACCAGCCTTCTCGTGCTAAATTTGATGCCGCTAGAATTTTGGCGTAGATCTACGGTTTGGACCTGTATAGCCCGTGTGGCTTAGCGCTTCTTTTTGATTATAATAATAATAATACGGTTTGGACCCTGAACATAAAGCCGCAGATCTATGGGACGGACCCTGAAAGGGTTAATGTCACCTTTGCACCATTTATAATATTTTAGTATATTTTTAAATGTTTATACAGTAGTGTACTGTATATTGTAATAAACAGAATAGAGAAAATCAGCTCTAATATACATTGTTTAGGTATGCATAATGGACAGAGAGCCCATCGTAAGTCCGAGTCGTCGGTAAACGAGTACGTTGCTAAGTGAGGAGAGGCTGTATTAAATTTTTACAAATATTCCTGAGAATAGGGAAGGCCTCCTTACATCCGCAGTTTGCTTTATGGGCTTTTAATAGGTTTGATTTGATTATTGGGACACCATAAACCATGACCAAACATTCCTGTTTTTTTTTTTTTTTCAACAAGTCGGCTGTCTCCCACCGAGGCAGGGTGACCCAAAAAAGAAAGAAAATCTCCAAAAAGAAAATACTTTCATCATCATTCAACACTTTCACCACACTCACACATTATCACTGTTTTTGCAGAGGTGCTCAGAATACAACAGTTTAGAAGCATACACATATAAAGATACACAACATCCCTCCAAACTGCCAATATCCCAAACCCCTCCTTTAAAGTGCAGGCATTGTACTTCCCATTTCCAGGACTCAAGTCCGACTATATGAAAATAACCGGTTTCCCTGAATCCCTTCACTAAATATTACCCTGCTCACACTCCAACAGATTGTCAGGTCACAAGTACCATTCATCTCCATTCACTCCTATCTAGCACGCTTGCTGGAAGTCCAAGCCCCTTGCCCACAAAACCTCCTTTACCCCCTCTCTCCAACCCTTTCGAGGACGACCCCTACCCCGCCTTCCTTCCCCTATAGATTTATATGCTTTCCATGTCATTCTACTTTGATCCATTCTCTCTAAATGACCAGACCACCTCAACAACCCCTCTGACTAATACTTTTATTAACTCCACACCTTTTCCTAATTTCCACACTCCGAATTTTCTGCATAATATTTACACCACACATTGCCCTTAGACAGGACATCTCCACTGCCTCCAACTGTCTCCTCGCTGCTGCATTTACCACCCAAGCTTCACACCCATATAAGAGTGTTGGTACTACTGTACTTTCATACATTCCCTTCTTTGCCTCCATAGATAACGTTTTTTGACTCCACATATACCTCAACGCACCACTCACCTTTTTTCCCTCATCAATTCTATGATTAACCTCATCCTTCATAAATCCATCTGCCGACACGTCAACTCCCTAGTATCTGAAAACATTCACTTCTTCCATACTCTTCCTCCCCAATTTGATATCCAATTTTTCTTTATCTAAATCATTTGATACCCTCATCACCTTACTCTTTTCTATGTTCACTTTCAACTTTCTACCTTTACACACATTCCCAAACTCATCCACTAACCTTTGCAATTTTTCTTTAGAATCTCCCATAAGCACAGTATCATCAGCAACAAGTAACTGTGTCAATTCTCATTTTGAATTTGATTCCCCAAAATTTAATCCCACCCCTCTCCCGAACACCCTAGCATTTACTTCCTTTACAACCCCATCTATAAATATATTAAACAACCATGGTGACATTACACATCCCTGTCTAAGACATACTTTTACTGGGAAGTAGTCTCCCTCTCTTTTACACACCTTAACCTGAGCCTCACTATCCTCATAAAAACTCTTTACAGCATTTAATAACTTACCACCTATTCCATATACTTGCAACATCTGCCACATTGCTCCTCTATCCACTCTATCATATGCCTTTTCTAAATCCATAAATGCAATAAAAACTTCCCTACCTTTATCTAAATACTGTTCACATATATGCTTCAATGTAAACACTTGATCTACACATCCCCTACCCACTCTGAAGCCTCCTTGCTCATCCGCAATCCTACATTCTGTCTTACCTCTAATTCTTTCAATTATAACCCTACCGTACACTTTTCCTGGTATACTCAGTAAACTTATTCCTCTATAATTTTTAGTCTCTTTTGTCCCCTTTCCCTTTATATAAAGGGACTATACATGCTCTCCGCCAATCCCTAGGTACCTTCCCCTCTTTCTTACATTTATTAAACAAAAGTACCAACCACTCCAACACTATATTCCCCCTTGCTTTTAACATTTCTGTTATATTTTATTATCCGAGAAGTAAAGTAAATCTATTTTGTGTGATTAAGAATTTAAAATGGAAGGTAAGTGTAACATAGGAGAGACCTGGGGGACATGATTAGTGCCAGGAATGTCTACATTATTTATTTTAGACTATTTTCAAATTGGTATACACCTACCATCCGGTTACGACGTGC